TTTATACTAGATAAGAATACATTGTTCTTACTTTGATATCCACAATTAATTTTCCAAGGTACAGTACGAAAAGGGCCGAATAATGGGTAGGGGATAAACACAATACTTCCAAAACATTACGTACATTTGCAAGACGTCTCAATTTTTGTTCATGTGTGGGACATCCCTCATTTTGAGATTGTGTCTTTTCTGGAGGGGGTTTTGCGGAGCAACCTCTAAAGAGTAAATTAAAGAACCCATAGCGATACATCCCTATTCGAATAATAACCCCCCGTCCTCGATGGTTTGTCGGCAAATCCGCTGTCTCTCACTTATGGCCACTTATGTGTATGTAAATGGTCTCTACCGACATACTTTTTTGTTACACTCAAACTTTAACGTGTTATATTTAGATAAAATCATATGGAGATTGTTACCTTAATAGCTAGTCAACTTTACCGGAAGGAAACTTCTTGGTCGTGGGAATTGCACACCATCTCTCCAAACACACGGGACTACTTGGACCCCGCCGACACAACAGACCTTGGAACACCAAAGGACCATCCCAGAGGGCGTACCGTTTAACCAGGAGTCCGGTTCCCCAGTCTGATTCTAACCAAGTCTTCTGGAGGTACCTTCTGCTGTGTGCTCACTCCTAGGTGGGGCCGGTCCGTTCCGGGCCCCAGGGAAGACCTCGGGTCCGGGTCTCCTCCTGGAGCAGCCGGCTCGCAGACCACCCGCCCGAACGGTGCCTCGGGCGGCCCGTGTCGGGCTTTTCCGCTGCACACCGTCTGTTGAGGGCGAAGGAGGCAGGGCGCCCGGGGTGTGGGGATGCCCTTTGTCGCTACCCCAGCCCACGCGACCCGGTCTTTCCCACCTCACTTCCGTCTCCCAGAGCTGCCTTGGTCTGCGGGCCCGTTGTCTCGACCCGGAAACCCCTGCACCTTGCAGCGTGGAGAGACCCCCCCTTCCTTCCTCAAGCCTTGTTATCGCCCTCCGGACCTCGCAATTGCGTCTAACCGTAGGACAACCCGGGGAGTGCCGACGATGCGTGTCGCAGCGAGGACCTGAATGTTACACTATATTATGGGAGAATTACTATTCTTGTGGTACTACTGCCTTATTAGGCCCATATTGACCGGCGCATATTAAGACCAAAACAAATGTACAACAACTTCCTTACTTGCAATTAATAGGCACTAATTATAGTATAATTGAGGAAAACTCTCAACTAATGGCCTGGTACCACTTTACAATAGGAGTACCCTTATAAAGGATTCATAAGGGTTTATAAATAGGTTATGAATTAGGTTGTAAACACTTTATTAATCTTTAAGAACCATTTATAAACCAGTTCTAACATAGTTTTCATTCATCAACACAGGCTCACTATTTGGCAAGATGACTAAGCCTTATATTGGCTACTTCGAGAGAATCAACTCAGTGAGCAACAGATGCCAAGGATGCTGGCTGATGAAGAAGATGAAGTAAGCTAGGTAGCCAATATAAGGCTTAGCAGTACAGATAAATGTGGGCTCACTATTTGGCAAGCAACCGGTCAAAGTTGCCCTGTTTATCTCATGTCTTATAAAAGCTTATTAATGATTTATAAAGTGTTCACAACCTAATTAATAAATGAATTACAAACTATTCGTAAGCCCTTTATAAGGGTAGTCTTATTGTAAAGTGGTACCTGTAAGCCAAAAATGTGAATAATCAAAACTGACCCGGAGGAAAACATAAAGTTACATTACATATCATTTTAAAAGAGGGAGTTTGAAATACTTTTCTATTCAAAATAACCTCTTTTACAGCTCTCTATACTTTAAACTATAGTATTTGTCTTTTTTTACTGAACAGTACTTTGTACTTAGTTTTTTGTGCATTTATATTTTATATTGTCTTTACTTTAGTTTTTTTAGATTATTTTATTCAATATTATTATGCTATTTATTTTTAATCAATTATGTGTTGCTCCTTTTCTACAACTTATTCCTTTTACTCTGTTTCGGTATGGATTATTTACATCCAATCAAATCCCTTGTATGTGTAACCCTACTTGCAAATAAACCTGATACTGATTGATCTGTTTCTGTATATCCATCTGAAGACCCAAAGTCTGATTCAGATAAAACATATCCAAACCATGTGGATTGAGCCATTTGAAACGATCCTTATTATAGGCTACAAAGAATATCCTGGCTGTGTGTACCCGGTCAGTGTGCTGCCTGCCGACCTACCGCTGAGCGACTGGAATACTCTGCTTTACTCCTGTCACAATAAGAGGTTGTGGTATGTGGATGGCTGTCGTGCCACACCGTATGTTTCTGAGGGACACAAAAACACACTCTTCACTTTAATATGTTGCCTTTAGCCACAGTAACTCCACACTTTTTTATTTTAAGTCGCTTGAACAGTTTTGACCTGGAGCTGTGCACTTACAGTCATTCCAGCCAAGATGAGTTGCATTGTGCTTCTTCCCTTGTTATATATTATATTTCCCTATACAATCCGCTATACATCTCCTTTGTGGCCCTGTTGTTCTGTGAATGTTCTGCAATGTACTCCCATACTGTGTGTCCCTGACATTGATCAATATAGTACCTTAGGCAGACAGATGTTGTGTTTCTGAAAGGCCCTGTTACCATGGCATTTGCCTCTGCATGTACTTTATCAAATTCAGACTTTTTGAGACGTAGGGTTAGGGGTTAGGTTTGACGCCGCTGTGTCAGTTAGATCGAACAGAAAACAGTAAAAAAGTAAATGAAGACAGAAAGCTGTGCATTAATTGTTCCTATGGCCAATTATTCCAAAAAAACGAATAGATAATGTATTGATAAAGCTAATTATTATTACTTATTTTTCTCTGTTAAACAAGGAACATTAATACAAATACATTAGTCTAAAATAAGAGAGATAACTAGTACCAGATTTAGCTAATAGCTCATTCCCATATGTAGTCCATAGGCAGGTACACCAATAATAATCAACAGATACTAAAACATAGCAACATTTCTATCACAGTAACAATTATAAAAGATCAATAAAATATAGATATCAAAATTATAAATCATTTCATTGTCTTGCAGCAGGGAAATGTATGACCAGCACTTTAACAGCATCACTATAGTATTACAATTCATCATCAACTAAAAACTCAAAATACAGGTATAGTAATGATTGCAGGACTAGTTGCTTAATATACTGTAAATGTTTTTGCTCTATGGAATAAAGATTGAAAGAATACACGTTTCCACCTCAGCTGGAGGCATTGGCTAATTATAATGCAAAAAAGTCATTAGCTAGTAATCATTGCTTTTGTTGGTTTGGTCTATTCACGCTGAGATTAGTTTGAATAAGTGTTAAGGTAAGAATATCAGCGGTATTCCAACCAGAGGCAAAGCATGGTGGGCCAATGTCATGGCTGCAGGGACAGTGGGGTATTTTAAGAGCAATGGGCTTTCAGAACAAGGCGTTTGTTTTTGGGATAACAGGCTGTCAGACAAATGGGTTATCGGTCCAATGGGACATTTTCGGATGATTGGGGTTTTGGAATAATGGGCCATTGGAACAATGGCATGGCAGCGACTACAGTTTCTAAGAGCCAAAAGCATCTTGCACTCTTGAGGAGTCTGTAGCTGGATTATTGAAGCCTGGTAAACGTCCCTTTATGGACAAGAAGGTATTTGTACCATCGTGATTTGAAACTCCTGCCCGCTTTCATTGCTCGTCTTGCAGTCTTTCATCTCTGTCACACACACACACACACATACACACACACACACACACACACACACACACACACACACACACACACACAAACTGCGTCAAAAGAGTTGTCAGGTCATGAGAAGCAGGCACAGGGATGAAGGGGATTTGTCGTTATTTGTGTTGTGATGCTGCGTGTGTTTTTTTTCTGACGACAGAGTTGTGAGAGTTTCCCCGAACTTTGACCTTTGACCTTTGACTCAGCTGGCCGGACACATTCCTCTGGCACAAACTCAAGCAATAACCTTCAACTGGAAAAAATTGGAAGACGCATTTAAAAAGCCCAGCAGGACACAAAAGACGTCTGACACCAAACAAACGTCATTTAGTTCTTCAGTGAAATAAATATTAAGCACCTGAAAAAGGCAGTAGCTGCACTTAATGCTTCAAAGCTTGGTAATGATGCTTCATAAAAACCTTATTTGTCTCTGAGGAAACTATGCCTCCAGAATAAGAAATAAATGCATTAAAATTAAAGTTTAATGGAAAAGAGGAAGCCTGCTCATAGGAGTATAAAGGTCTGACTGCAGCGACAAAAAGAAAGCTTTAATATAAATATAAATGCAAGTCGAAAACATCAGGGCAGAGATGGATGACACTGCTAATGTCTTCTCATGTATACCACAGTGAACTGTCTGTGGTTATTGTGTAATAGCAGGGAGAAATAAAGAGACAGTATCACAAAATGAAAAAAGGTATCAGAGGAAGTGGGAACTTGTTTATAACAGGAACACACTGGTTATCATTGTTCATGCAAAGAGGTTTAATTTAAAACAATGTATTCAGATGGAAATCAAAACCAGCTGAGATAAGAAGTCCACTTCCAAAAAATGGCATGTGAAGCTCAGTGACAAAGCTTTGGCTTCATCTCCCTCTGTCAGATCTAATTGTGTAAAGATCAGCTTATATTTGTTTTTCTGGACTATTCCCTGAAGTTGACAGTGAGAGGAAATGACCGGAGGAAATGCCAGCAGCTTAACATGGATCAGTGTTTATAAACTCTGCAGTCTCCTCCCTGCTTCGTAAACTAGTAACAAATCATCTGCCATGTATTGAAAAGTGACTACAGAGAGCTTATGAAATCTTGAAAACATTGTATAAAGACTGCAACTAGGAAGATCTACTGCATGTACATTCTTAAAATATCCTTTTCAAATACAAATCAAGTTGAAGATATAGAAGGTGATTAATAAAAGACTGGAAACCCAGTATGTTCTGCTTTTCCCTTTCGGTTTGCTCCTTAACAAAGCTGCTGTCAAACTCCCAGAACTCGATAATTGCTCTTGAATCAGCTTAGTGACTAAAAGTGAAATACCAAACACACTGTATACTTCTAGGCTTAGTCCAACCAAATTACAGTTTGAGAATTGGAGACAATTTGAGGGCAGCAGCTGGAGGATAGAGTACCTTTTAAGAGCAACATGATCAGGTTGTACACATGTAGCCTATAATCCAAAGCATTATCATTATTATCAACACCTGTCTGTACATTTACATATGAAGTCGTTTTAATCATAGACTCCAATGGCAGCCACAATAATTATGCACATCATTATAATATCAAGTATTATCAAAAGATTGGTTACAGTAAAGGGGGAATGAATAAAATGTCCATGACCCTCCCTCACGTGGTGTTATATTCAGTGGTCAGTGAAGCCAGGCATGGGAAAGGGTCTGGCGAACAGCTCCACCCGCTGGCGGAGCTCCGCGATGCGCGACACCGTCTCCTGGTCCTCCAGCAGGAAGGACCTGAAGCTGGCCAGATTCCCTGTTGGGAGAGAGAAAACAAAACAACAAGCTGAAAGTTGGTATTTTATGAATCCGCTTAACAATGTAATCTAATGTTGTAAAAAGGGCCATGTTGTACAAAACAAACTTGAAATTGAGACTATATTTATGTACTGCAGAACCTAGAGCTTAACAAAACGATTTCCTTTGATACACATCGTCATGATTTCTGACAACATTATCCCTGGTTCTCCTTGACAGTAAACATTCAAAAGCCTCCCATACAACAATGGAAACAATGTCCCCATGGTGTGTCTACCAATGCATAAAAACTCTTCCTCTTTCCTCACCAGTCTTCTTCTTCACATCCAGTGCGATCTGAATCCCCTCATCGATAAAATCTACAACCTTTTCAAAGTCTGCCTCATTGAGCTGTCTGGAGGTAAGAGCTGGAGTTCCTGTAAAATAACAACATTTGTATTAAATAATACGTCGAGGTTAAGGGAGACACATGCTGACAGGCTGACTGACAGGTTGATGGATGTACAGTGAGGGGGGGCGGGGGAGAAAGGGACAATATGAAATCAGGTAGGACAACTGACTGATTGACAGATTTGGCCCAAACAACCTCTACTCCTGCAGCTCTCCACTGACAGTAATCAGGGTATCAACACATACAACATTTAAATCTTCCCGTACCGAGCCGCAGTCCTCCTGGAGTGAGAGCGCTCTTGTCTCCGGGGCAGGTGTTCTTGTTGGCCGTGATGTACACCAGCTCCAGGATCCTCTCAGCTCGAGCCCCGTCCATCCCGCGAGGTCGAAGGTCAACCAAGACCAGGTGATTGTCTGTTCCACCTGAGAGGAGGAGGAAGGGGAGATGAGCTGTCTTTTTAGTTCAGGGTGAAATAAAGTGCAGATCAGCTCAGGGGGAAATGTGTCTGTCGGTGAAATAAATTGTAACTTTCCTCCACTCAAACATATGAGATGAAGTTATCATCACTTTCATGAAAAGAGAATGCAAATTAGGTAGAAAAAAAACGTCTACAGTACCTGACACTAAGGTGTAGCCTTTCTTCAGCAGAGCGTTAGCCATGCTCTTGGCATTGAGCAGCACCTGAGCGATGTACTGTTTGAACATGGGAGTGGAAGCCTGTAGAGAGAATGATAATGATGTCAATGGTAGGCTATGGATGAATATTAATGATTCATGTTTATATCTGAACCTGTTTGAGGGCAACGGCCACCCCTGCGATGGCGTGGTTGTGAGGTCCTCCCTGAAGTGATGGGAACACGGCAAAGTTCACCCTGTCCTGGAGGTCATAGGTCACCTCCCGACCTTTCTTATCCACAGACCGCACGCCTTTCCTGTAGAAGATCAGACCGGCCCTGGAGACAACAGAGTACACTTAACATGAAATATTCCTTTAAATATATTTCTTAACACCACACAATGTTAACTTGACCTGACCACCATCAACACACTACGTCAAGGCCCTCACCTTGCTCCACGCAGGGACTTATGGGTAGTGGAGGTGACCAGGTCAGCGTGCTGGAAGGGAGAGGGAACTGCTCCGGCTGCCACCAGGCCGCTGATATGAGCCATGTCAGCCAGCAGGTAGGCGTTGAGCTCCACACACAGCTGAAACACACACACAGACAGACACGTTATTTTACTCTCATCAGATTTTTAACTTGTTTATCTCGTGTTCTAATATCCTTTAGTGGACATTTTGATACATAAGAGGTACCTTTTTCATGCGAGCGTAGTCGATGAGGCGGGCGTAGGCGCTGGTTCCTGCTATGATAAGTCTGGGTCTGAAGAGTCGGGCGTTCCTCTCCAGCTGCTCATAATCTATCAGACCTGTTTTGGGCTGAGGGGAGACAGGAGGAGGATAGAGGTAAAAATCAGGCGTGCATTACAGTACATTTTGTTTTCAGATCAGCTGTTGTCTTCACAAATTCTGTTTTATAAGCGAATTACTCACATCCAGCTTGTAAGGCATTGATTCAAAGTAAATGGAGGTGGCTGAGATTCTCTTGGTGTCCGTCATATAGCCGTGGGTAAGGCTGAAATGTGATGGAGTCAAAAAAAGTTTCAGTAGATCATGCATTTCAGAAGTTCAGCGAGATCTTCTGCGACATTGTGAACTTATTCTGACTTTCCATTTCTCTTCCATACGAACCGTTTTATGAATGTAGCTAATCAACTATGGAGCAGAATAATTCCCCTGACACTGACTACAGTATCTCTGTGCTTCAAACACCCTCCTTCTCCATCCTCTGATCTACAAATCCTCGATTTTTGTAACTGCTTGTACATTTGAACATGTATTTACAATTTGTCACATTATAGGATCCTCCTTATATTAAATTGTTACTTGAGAAGAAAAATTGTGTTTGATGTTGTTACCTTGTGCCATTGTATTGTGGTTTGCATTTATCTCTAGGCACACTTTAGCCTACAGCTTTTTATTGTTTACATTTCTAACATTTCTGTGGTTGGTAAGAAATGAATTGATATGGTGTATAATGTTGTATAACCCCACCACGAGACTAACGTTTTGTACTTTGAGCTAATTCCTCTTGATGTTAATTCCCATATACATCCAGGTTCTTGCAGGAAAATATCAAAACTACTCTCACAACATTTCATGGCACATTTAACATACTGTACTGAATTGAATATTTTGTTGTCATGACTTCCTAATGGGGACTTAATATCTCATTATTACTTTAACACACAGCAACTATTATTGATGCTCTTTTAAGTAACATTAATCCCGTTAGAATGATAATAATGCAAGTTATTATTAGCGTTGTTCGCATCAGTATGAGTATAACCTAAAAGCTCTATATTTGAGTACTTGACTCACTGTCCTCCGTCAGGCAGGTCCAGGCCCATGATGCGGTCATGAGGCTGCAGGACAGATGTGTACGCTGCAAAGTTAGCGGGGGATCCGGAGTACGGCTGGACGTTGATGCCCCACAGATTTGGGTCCAAACCGAAGGCAGTGAGCGCTCGTTTCTGACACAGCAGCTCAATCTGATCCACGATCTCTGCTCCGCCATAGTACCTGAGAGAGACGCAAGATATTAAGATTTGAGAGTATCCTTATTTTACTCATGGTAAACTTTCAATTCAGTTTTGTATTGTTTTGTATCGCATCACATTGTATTGTATCATTTTGTCTTTGCATTGTCCTACTTTTAGCTTTATTTGATATGGTAAATGGACTGTACTTATGTAGCGCTTAGCATACTACATCATTCACCCTTTCACACCCCATTGGTACAAATAGTGCCACTTGCAGAGCAGAGAGAGGAGCTGTGGATTATTGTTATTGATTAATGCATCAGTGTTTCTTATGGTCAAAAACACTAAACTCACAACTTAAAATGAAAGCGTTTAGTTTATTTAATAAAAGAGCACATGTTCAATGTGAAAAGTGACGGTAGTTATAGATTAGCAATTTAATGCTATATATATGCATATATAAATAAAAACACAAGACAATGGTCAGGGAAACACTGAATCAACAATAAGTAATTATAGTTATAATCACTTAANCCCCAAAGGATGCACACACACACACACACACACACACACACACACACACACACACACACACACACACACACACACACACACACACACACACACACACACACAAATGTGTGTGTGTGTGTGTGTGTGTGTGTGTGTGTGTGTGTGTGTGTGTGTGTGTGTGTGTGTGTGTGTGTGTGTGTGTGTGTGTGTGTGCATCCTTTGGGGAGATCATATGTATATTCCCTCATGCTTCATCGTTCCTAGCCATCTCTTTATTGCCTAGAGTCCCCGGGGTGTTTAAAGATTGTTATTTCTTTACGTCCGCTGTTCTTTGCTCTCTCTTCATCCGCTCTTTTAGTTGTTTTAGGAGGAAGAGAGTGCAGTGCAGATAGTCTGAAGGGAGGTCTGAAGGTTTCTGGAGTGGATGAAAGAGGAGTCTCTCCTTCAATGAACAAAGTGACAGGGGTTTATTATTAATGTATCCCTCAGAATATGCAAAGATTCACTAAGACAGTGAAAATAAGGGAGGGATAAGTATATTTCAATATTAAACATGACAATGAGTCTCGAAGGATAAGAATATCATCCAGCCACATGTTTGGGACTCAATAAACCTGTGGTACATTTATTTTTAAATGACGCCCATAACAGGATGATCATGGTTTTTTAGTTCAGAATAAAGCAAGAACAGAGAGAGCAGAGTTTGGTATAAAGTCCATGTCCTCAATAGAAACAGCTTCAAACCAAAAGCTCTTTGCAATATTTCAATCTAAACACTTCTAAATCTTGCAGAGCTGGTATATGGCTGCTGGTTTTGCCCCCCCCCCCCCCCNCCCCCCCATCTGTAACCTTTGCCAGGGGGGTCCGATTCTCACCGAAATCACAGTTATTCCCCTCTACTTTAAGCAAACTAAAGCAATTTACTCTGGATTCATGGTGTATGCAATGGTAGGGGGGCTTCTTCTAAATATTAAAAAGTAAATTGTAAATTCAACCACTTTCCTCCTCCTTATCAACGTCTGTTTTTTAAGACAAATATGGATTTAGATGTTAAAAGTCAATGAGGGACATAGGTGTACGTGTTTCATCGGACGTGTCTGCAGAAAGAGACCTGGATTTGTGTGTGTGTTGTGTACACTGTGCTCTGCTGTCATACATGAATGCCATGCTGTGGGACTGCTCAGCATCCTGCCACTGCTGATCAAAGACATTGCTGTCAAACACACTTGCGCGCACGCACACACACACACACACACACACACACACACACACACACACACACACACACACACACACACACACACACACACACACACACACACACACACACTAAATGTGGTTACAGAAGCACAAATCAGGCTTTCAAAGTGACAGCTGCACTGCTAACAGATGGATGTGTTCCATCAGAGTTCCTGATTGTGTATTTTTACCGTGGAAAAAGATCTGTATCTGACTTTGTTCCATGCAGGTGGGCAGGATGACATCAAACACTCTCATCACAAATAAAACTGACATTTTATTTTTTGAAAGTATCCAGCCCAGTTTATACATCTATCACTACATACAGTCATTGCTGAATTTAGTGGCTGCTAAACCAACAATAACGTACCGGTTATGAAGAAACACATGCAGACCAGTCACATGCATTTGACCATCAGTGCATTCCAGCAGGCGGTAATGATGTCATCACAAGTTTATATATCTAAGGTTTCACACTTGCAGAATGTATACAAACATACAGCATTTTAAGCGTCAGATTTAGATCGCATTGACATTAAAAGAAAACTTAAAAGCGTTCGTTGCTTTGAGCCACTTAATAATGTATATATTACTTTTCCGCTGATAATTTATGGATGTATGAAGTTTCAGATATCTTGTGTATTTTTCCAATCTGTTCCAGGCAGCTACTCGTCTCCAAAAAATGTTGGGCATTAGCCTGACACCTGAAGCTTATTTGCATAATTTACTTCAGCTTTTGTGAGTCTAATAACTGATTTTAATTTGTTGGTTGAATTGAAACCAACAGATGGCTGAAATTTAAATTTAAATTTGTATTGGCTAAACAATGCAATTCCATATGTTTGGTGCAGTGTGCATGTCTGTCTTATCTGTCGTGTAATAATGTAGAAATACTACATGGTAAACTTTTTCAATATTCTTATGTGCACTCATGATGCGTTCACTGACCCTCTTGGTGGAATTCACCAGAGGTACAGACGCACTAAAGGATTACAGATCCTGATCTAGGGTACAATTCAGTTTCCATCTGCAGAGAAGATGTCGAGGAGGGAGTGAATCTGACCCCAGATCAGGATTTTCAATCTGGTCATTGAGAGGAGGCAAGCGAGAGATTCAGAACTCAGGTCCCTCCTTCTTCAGGTTTTTGTAGTCTGTGGTAATGGCCACAAACTGGGGAAAAATCAAAAGCAAAAATCAGTGGGAGGGGAAACTTGATGCAGATATTTCACATGCAAACAGAGATGTATAAATCAAATCACAGTCCGAAAATCTGTGTGCTGGTTTACCTTGTACTGGTATGTGGGATCAAGATTATTCCACGGCTCAGGGTTGTTGGTCTTGTTCCAGCTAAACACACAAACACACAGACAGAACTGGGATAAGTTACAGGTTCTTTGGAAACTGAGATACACAAATACAGCTTTTTTCAGACCTAAGACACACACTAATATTCAGTCAAAAGTGATGTGATAACCCTGAGAGCTGCTATATTTCATCCTTGCTTTAATAGATTACATACAAGAAATGATATGACTCAATCCCAGCACACAGTTGGAGCTTTGGCAACACCATGAGATCTTTAAAGCTCATCAGGTAAAGAAATAATGGAAGACAAGAAATGCATCATCCTGTGAGCACTTAGTTGCAGTTATTGGAACATCATTATGGACAAATAAACAGTTTGAATAGCAGCAGGAGGAGAGGAAGTTGAAGAAAGAGGCGTTTCAAGGGAGGAATAAAAGCAAGCGGGAATCCCCTGTGCTCACATCATAAAATAAATCCCTCTGCTCAGTTAGAGTGCAAACGTTTTCTTCAACACTCATTAAAATTAGCATTTCAGGATGAAAGTCTGAGAGGAAGGAAGTCTAAAATCCATGATTTAATTCTTATCTATAACCATCCTGTCACCACTCTGTAGGGAGTCATTAATGCTTTTTTGGAGATTTTTGTCTTATTGTTTCTTAAATAATGTGAACATTTGCTTAACAGATGTTTAAACCGGAGGAAACACACAAATTAATCAAATAAAAAGCAGATTCCTAGCAGCCTCAAGGTGATGCATTTGTTTATAAAGATGGAAAAATCTATTGCAGATAGCCAATCTTCAGTATTGACTATATAATGATGATACTGTTATAGAAACGTTTGTAATCCAAAATACCATGTACTGACAACTTTTTATTTTGCATATTAGAAGAGGTTCTTACGTGACATGCGGTCCTTTGGCCAACCGTATCAGATACATCGACGCCCCGCCCATTCCCAAACAGATGAAGAAGAACTGGGGGATGAGCTGCAGACACAGAGAGACATGATCAAAACATTAGCCTATTCTGTGTTGTCTTTTTCATCATACCTAATTGGTGACTTCTGAATCTCAAGTTATATTGTGCTGCTTATAAATGACAACACAACTTGTTAACAGAGCAATTCTATTATCCATATTTACGGTAAATTATTTAAAGAAAAGTTAAATCGAGACCATTCTTTGTAAAAATGATCCCAATTTCACAATTTACAGATTATATCTCTCTGACAACTAAAAAAATATGTTGTGGTTTTACATATGAAAAAGATATTCGTCGACAGAACCAGGTCACCCCAGACTGCAGTCTTCACGCTGATATATGATAAATGTTGCTCTAGCCTTTTACAACATTTAGTAACTCCATATTAAAGGACTATACTGTTGGGCTCCTTTTACTTTAGAGGACACTGTGCGCTACGCTAAGTTAATGTGCTTCACTTCCATTAGCGACTTAATGTTGATCCGTCACTGGTGCTAGTCATTAAAGTAGAATCATGTCTGCCAGAAAATAACCCGGTATATACATTTATTTATTATTAAACCTTAATTTTCACCCTTGCATCAGCCTCAGTCAGTTTCAGCCTCATAAATCCTGTCACTGTGTTATCTGACTGTTTTGGTGAGTATGCAAATATAAAAGCACAATCTGAATTTCGAAAGGTGCAGATGCAGATTCTTTCGAAGTCACTGTATACTTATTCAACTGAGAGAAACCCGTATGCATCCCAGGCCAACTTGTTTTTTTTATGGAGGGTCAGAAGTTTAAGTGGTGAGAATGGAAACATAAACCATTTTATAGGTCAATTGATTTGGACCCTCCGCAGAAATCAAAGTGAAGAGAAACTTTCCATTACACAAAACAGTGGATTTTCCCATGTTCATTGAGAGTAGAAAAAACACAAACAAAAACAGGGACCAACCAGTTTGAAGTCACCTGTGGCCTGTGGCCAATCAGAATGCAGCTCTGGATTAGTGCCACTCTGACCCAGGTGGCTCCAATCTCCTCTCATTTGGATCTAACTAGCAGTCAATTGCATTTGACAAAAAATCCAACCCACTTGATGGAGTTCATGAACAAGGTCACATTCCCATCAAAGGAACTCATTACATTTAAAGCAGGGAAATTAGATTACGGACATTTAAAAGGGGGTGAGCACTACATCAGATTATTTCAGTGATTTAAACAGATAAAGAAATGTGTTAAATTGTTACCAAAAACAAGAGAAGTAGTGTCACGTTGTGTTGGCTCGATTACAGCCTTAAAGGTAACCTTTTTTACTTAACTCACATAAAACCCCTGAACACATCATGCAGACATAACATAACAGAAAACGGTGTGTGCAGAAAGACAAGTGAACACTGATTTCTCCAAAATCACATGATCATATTGACAGGCGAGGGAACCCTGCTATCGGCACTCACAGCAAAATTGACACAAGGAAATGTATTGGGAGATAAGAAAATGGCTCTGACAACTACCATCAATATATACCAGAGGAGCGAATATTAACTGACTCCTATTTCACTATAAGTGATTTCATATTTATTCTCCACAAGATTTTTTACAAGTTGGAAATGTCTTTGCTGAAGCGGCTGAGATTTAGGCTGTTGTTGGACCCGATGCATGCTTTATTTGTTCACCTCCTGTCTGCAGATTATCGTCACTCAAGTCTAGGATTAACAGCTGCCATGCTTCTGCTCGGGCACCCTGTGTCAACTGGAGAAACCTACTGACACACAGCACTGTGTGTGTGCGTGCGTGCGTGCGTGTGTGTGTGTGTGTGTGTGTGATGGTGATGGAAACTAATTGAGTATTCACTCAAGTGCTGTGCCTGAGTAAACCTCTGAGTTACTTCTGCTTGGTTTTACTTTTTCCATTTTATGCAACTTCTGCTACATCTCAGGGGAATATATGTAGAACTTTTAATACAAGGTACTTTTTAACTTCAATACAGATCTTTGACAGCAGCAGGAATAGAATATCTTTCAACATTTTGGATCACCTCAACCAAAAAGTGATTTATTCTTCATACTTTACACATGGTTTCATTTGAATAACTGTTTGGGGCCCCAACAGGTACAATAATGCAATGTTTCGTTAAAAAAAGAGAATAGAAAAAGGCATAGATGATCATACTATAAATCTTTTTAGCAGAACTAAATCTCCTGACCCTTATATTAGAAAGTACTATACTAATAGTACAAGTAAAATGCTGATTCAGTATAATGTCTATAATGTCGATCTAATATGTCTTGTCAATCACAAAGGACGTTTTTTCTACAAGTGCTTACCGAATATAAGTTACATTTTGCGGATTAAACTTCTGCTATTATGTACGACTTTTACTTGTAAAGTATATTGACATCGGAGAGAGAGAACCAGCCATGGATTTGATAATGCAACAAAACACTTATTACTGTCAGCTAAAGATTTGCTGCAACACGACTGAATGATCATCACGTCTTTCTTTAACTGCCTGTCCCAAGCCTGCCTTGATCTGTCTGCCACTGAAATTATTCAGTTATTCTGATGATTACAAGTGAAACTATATTTTGGAGTTGTGAGTGATTTTGGACAGAGTCAATGTAGCAGCCACCTGTCTCACCTTCTGTCTGTCTGTCTTAAACTACCTGACAATCTCTCTCCGTCTCACTTGATCGAGGAGTCTTGATGGAGTCCCAGAGGGATGTGTTCCCTGCTGCTCCTCTCTGCCTGTCTGTCTCTCTGCCTGTCTATCTCTCAATCTGTCTGTCTGTCAGGATGATAGACGGCATCACGGAGTCTCTCAGGGATTTCCTCCCTGCAGCGTCCCTCTCCCTCTCCTGGGAGGCACATGACGAGAAGTTCAAACTCTGTCACTTGGCTCTCTGACAGCAGAGCTGGTTAAAAAACATGGAGAAATAATCCAATCCCCTGTAGGGACAACTGATATGTTCACATTTATTTTAATGCCAACCACTCATTTCCTAAATTGTTAGATATTGTCAGTTTAGATTGAGGAAGGTTTCTAAAAGTCATGGATGTGTTTTAAATTCTTAAGCCTCTCTCAGTTTGGCTAGATTTTAAATGAGCCCCACTGGAGGAACTTAACCTGCTCACTTAGTTAAAATAAGATGATGTGAGACTAAATTAGACTGCTGATCACTTCAATCATTTGCAAACACTCTAAAAACCTTGCGGACAATCATTTGTTGAGTTTCATTGACTGAAGCTGGAACATGTGCAAAAAGTTAACACTTGAACATACTGAATATTTTTGCCTTATTCATCTGGCATTCATATTCAATGAGACATTATGTTAACCCTTTCACGCATAGAGGCTACTACAGTGGACAGATTTTCAAAAGGTGTTTTCTTATATATGCATGGGTTTTGATGGCATAGTTGCACCATCAGCCACTACATAGGACCCTAATGCACCATCCCATACACTGCCACTCAGTGGTAAATCAGTGTAAGTGCATGATACGTGTCTCTAAACCTGCTCTAAACCAAGATGGACGACAGAAAGCCAGATGGACCGAATCACTCATCGATATCTTGCCAATCCTTTTATGGAAAGCGCTCCCTGCAGGTATAGAGTGGCGAAGTCACGCCCATATACTTCCGCCCCATGGGACCTTATTTCTGAAAAATCATGTATTGAAGTCAATGGGGAGAGAAAGATTGCACAATTCAAACGGGATCAAAAGATAATCTCTCTCTCTCAATTGACTTCAATACATACTTTTTCCGAAATAAGGTCCCATGGAGGTCCCCCGGAAGGGGAGGGACTTCACCACTAACAATGTTGGTGACATCAAGTAACAACTAAGGAATCATATAATTCATTAATTGTCAAAGTATTGATTTTATGTTTGCAGGAAATTTTGATTAATCACCTGTCCACTAAAGTGGATGGCATGCATCACTGGCTATATTTCAACTAAAATTCATACTGTTACTGGTACTGTTGTTCTTGAAAATACTTCATTTGCAATATCTTTTTGGGCCTTAGATAAATATACTCAAGTTATTATAATGTAATTTTAAGTTTGCACATCTTTATTTATCATTTTTTCCAAATTGACATGTCTTCAGTTCAAACTTTAACGCATACTGTCCAACTGAGTGGACATATAAAACTTTTTTTTTCTAAATTTGAAAAAACTAGATAAAAATAAACTAAAGATAAAAACAGTTGGTAAAAAAATCCTGAGTGAGGCTTTCATAATTCATGCATGAAAGGGTTTTAATCAATACATGCATTTTAAGATGACGTGATATTATTTATATTAAAATGCTATTCTACCATACAGACATACGTCACATTTTGGTTCATAAGCTTTTTATGCATTTTAAAGCCTAAACACATGGATCTGCAAATTAGCTTTATATCGCATAACAATGACTTTGCCATGTTTAAATCACTGTTTGTCTCTAATGGTACAGTTACATAAGGGAAAGGGGCATACATAAAAGCCAAAGTACTTAGCTTCTAACCTAAAGATGATAACCAGGCGTTCAAGGGGAATAAGGTCTTCAATGTTTTTTTACAAGCAAAATTCTGGAGAATTAAGATTTAAGAGTTTGTTGTTCATTGCAGCTCGAACTCAAACTTTAGCTTAAAAATGTTTGGATATGAAAACAGGTAAAGAAAAAGTAAAGAAATAATTATTACTCACGCCAGGGTGCCTCTTAGCATGCTCCATTGCTGTCCGAAATACCATTGCTCCAGTTTAGAGAGATGTAGGAACAATGCTTGGAATATAATGAGTTTCAGGCCCTTGTTATCGACAAGCAGCTGTGCACAGACAGCATTTAGACCTGTTGCTCTCTGTGTGTGGAGGGGGGAGGAGGAGGAGGAGGAGGTCATTTACATCTGATCGCAGCTACTTCTGCTCCCTTGTTGGGGTGGTCACACCGGACACTGTGAGATAGTTTATATTCAAATGATAAGGTTTCACCCTAAATGCTTATTAAATATACAGGTCTGAGACATTTGGTGCTCATGTCAGGGTGTCCTATCAGAAGAAGGTTTGTGAGCTCCTGCAGAGATAAAAAGGGAATCATTTTGGCCCTAATTTCCTTCACTGTAGTTTAAAGACGTGTTCCTTTGGGAGCTGACGGAGGAAATGGAAAAGCATACAAACACTGTGTCCTTTCAACGGCCACTGGGGAACATCTATAGTCTATTAAAGAGCATCTTGCAGGTTTTTTTTTTTTCTACATTTATGCTTAAACTTGCTTGAAAATTACAATTAAAAAAGTGAATGTAGGATTTGATATGTTTTACGAGACATAAGGGCAGGAATTCAGAGGGAAAAGAGCAATTTTGAGCTCTGCTCTTAAAAACGGCTTTTTTTAAGGTCATAGTCCCCCTTTGTTTGGTTTGTGTTCCTCTGCCGACCTCGTCATGCGGTGGTGTCGCAGATGGGATTTACGTTGAGGTGTGATGCAGAATGCCACGGCACATGGCACTCCCCTCCTCTACTCCTCTCGTTGTCCGCTTCCCTCTCTCTACATTTATTGCCAAAGGACTATTTCACACCTCTCATACACGACGTCCCTCCACCTACGTGTTGTGTGGTCTCCTTGCTTGCGATAAAGGAATCTGAGATTCGCTTATCTATCAGGTCGACCTATCTCCGGCCGACCGGTCCCGTACGTCGCTGACAGGAGGCGCCTGTCCGACCGAAGTTTCGGACCTTCTCCAATTTGAAAATTATAGTAACGAAAAGTTGAAATTATGAAATTACTGACTATTTTCAGGGAGAGTGGGTTTTTTTTAAGATCGTGAGAGATCAGAGAAGAGTTATTGGGTTATGTGTGTTAATAGTTAGATAATTAACGTTTATCTTGAATACTATAAGTCAGAATCACACACACCGACGTAGCTTATAAAAAGTTCCGTTTCTTGCAATTTGGGTGACGTCAGAACGTCAAGCGGTCCTTCCTCCAGCGACGATTGAACTTCGAAGCTCTTTAATTGGTATAAAGGCTGTGGTTAACAGGTTCACCAAGCCTGCCGAAGTAAGTGTTCGAAGTAAAACGGTAGTGATTGCGATCGAGGTCAGGAAAAGGGCACTCCTTTGACACATGCGAGCTACAGGGACTGTCCGAACCCATAAACACGGTCTGGACGTGTTTTGTGTTATGACGTGGTACTAATGTCTTACCACTTTATGTACATTTTGATGGCTTTTTTATGGTCGAGTGTTTTGTGTTTTTGGAGAGTTGAGTTGCGTTGATGATTGCGATATGGGCGCCAGTCTCTCGCCTCTAACAATATCGGGAAACACTACATTAATACGTGC